CCGCACTTTTGTTTCTCTGGGCTCGCAGCGTTTTTTTTTTTTTTTTGTTTTATACACCCTTTTGGCCCATAAAAACCGCCCAGACAAATGGCAAATGACTTACGAAAAAACACAGATACGGAATTCTATGAAAAAATATCATAATAAAAATCTCCAGCAGTTAAAATAATTGTCACAGTAATAAAGCAATGCACAAAATTATAACTGACCCGCTGGAGGGCAGATCGAAAAGTTTTAGTCTTTTAGTTGACTTATTTTAACATTTTTTCTCTAGTTTTCAAAGGCAAAACAATGAAAGCTAAAGTAAAATTTAAGTGGGTTTGCTAATGAATCTTTATTGTTTTTTCATTATTTAAAAACATATTTTATTTGGTAATGAAATATGAATACTCTGAAAAATTCGAAATCTCCTTGTTACTTGCAAGTGCCCATTTTTAAGCTCTGAAAATTACCTGGTAGAGAGTCTTTCCATTAGATAAAATGATTTGTTCCAAAATACCTCAGCTCCTACTTATAAGATTCCATTAGGGAAGTCCCTGAAAGCTGCCCTCTGCCAGTTGCTTACTGCCAGCAGTTACTGGGTACAGTCCGGTTCGCTGTTGCAATGCTGTTCTGGCTGCACTTGCTCCGTTTTATAGCTGGCAAACATTATGGCCATGATTAATGGCAGATAATAATTTCGAGTGCCGAGCACTTGACAGCGTACGAAAAGTCAGAAAACTATGGCCAATGGACGCCCATTAGCCCGGGCCGCCCCCCGAAAAAATGCACAACGAACGGATGGAGGACTGAAGAATGTCAGAGGAGAAGCTCAGGGTATAAAAGGCAGAGGCGGAGGCGGAGGACGAGGACCAGGACTAGGACGAGAAGGATGAAAGGACAAAGTGCAGTAAAGGCAACTCTGCAAATGACTGCTGCAAAATAAACAGCAACAGCAACAGAAGCTGAAGCTGAAGCAGCATAAAACTATTGCCATGTTCTGTTTGCGGCATTAAATGCCCCCCTCCCGCTCTCTTCGCATACCCTTCTCTTTCGCTCTCACTTTTGCCATCTCTTTCAGCCTGGTGCGTGTGATTTACTCCGCCTGGTGCATAAATTATGATGAGAAAAACGCTCGCTGGCGTTGATCAGCAAATTATTTTATGCAAATTAAAAATCGTAAAAAATATATTATACAAAAAGAGAATATAAGAGGGTACAGTAGTAGAAAATTCAATGAGAAAGCTGATATCTTTGGAGGCCAGTGTCAGTTGACCATATTTTGATTATAGTTTCGTAGTCATCCAAAATTGATTTGTCAAAACCCTTCTCTCAAATTTCTCTACAAAACTCTACCCTCGTTCCCTACATTTTTCCTGATGACTTTTGTCTGTCACAGCTGTCGCAAAATGGCATTTAATGCTTGCTTTTTGGCTAATAACTGGGTTTCGCATTTAATAAATGGTTAACCAAAGCAAGCTTAGCGATTTTTAAACTAAAGTTTCATGCGGCAAAAATCTTTACAATTGTTCCTCTAAAAAGACCAACTCTTTAAGCTTTGATCCAAACTTGATCTGGAGTTTGCCGAACAGTTTCCGGTTACATCCGTCGGTTAAAAGCTTTGCCATCAGGAGGAGGACACCGAACGGACCAAGGACACAATGCCCCATAACCAATGAGTGCAACTCGAGGTGGAGCTGCATCTTTGGCCAAGGATCCGGTCCTTTTCTTTTGTGGGCGTGAGAGTGGCCGTCATAAAATTACTTTTTATCATTGCAACATGGACACCAGAATAGCGCTTTTGGGTAGGTCCTTCCTTGTCTCCTTGAAATTTTACCGAGTGGCACATAGTTTTTATGACGTTTGCCACAAGGCATCCGTCCACGTCGCCTCTTTATGTTGCAGCAGCTAAGAGGTTGGGCCACGTGCCCGTTCCCTACTTTTCTCCCAGTGCACCGTATTAATGGCTCGCATGCACGCTAATAAGCATAAACGCAAACGCAAGAATGTGCGTGTTAAGGACTCTCACTTCGGTTCGCTCCTTTGACTTCAACGCGCACTTTATAAATGTTGTTAAAAATCTAACTAATGCCCAGCAAGTGCGCAATGCACACGCTCGCTGCGGTTTATTAATGCCACAAAAACGGGCAAATAATGGTCAGCCCTTGACCACATTGTTGCTGCTAATAGAGAGAGAACTGGAAAACAAGCGAAAACTGGCCAAAATGAAACACCCTCAATTAGGCAAAAATTCTCCACTGCGCCGGCAACTTTTCCTTTGCAAAATTTCAAGAATTTTTCAAACAATTTTCCCAGCTTTTCAAAAAAATTAGAAGAATGAACGAAGTACACTTTAAGTTAGAATAAAAGGTAAATGGAAAAAGCAACAGGTGCGAGGACCAGCTTTCCTTTTATTGACACTTTTCCTGGCTTGGACAATTGTTTGCCGATGCATTAAGAGAGAAATGGAAAATGAAAAGTGAAAAATGAAAAATGGAAGCTTAAACCGAGTGAATGAATGAAAAAGCATTTTTTTGCTCAACTCAATAGCCATTTGACAAGTTGACTCTGGGAAACAAGCCCGACTGCATCAACTGAGTTAATTAAGACAGATTTAAGTTAGAGGAAATGTGAGTCAACACTTCACAATGGGCAAAGTGTGAAAGCTTCATTTGCAGCCAAGTAAATGCCACATAACGACCATTGCCATTGCCAAACAAGAAATCTCCCCCTATTCTCCTGCAGGACAATTGCCAATTTAATTTAAACATTTGCGCAAAGTGCAAGTTTTTGGTCACTTCCGCTGAAGTTGAAGCTGCTATTGTCACTTGATTTGTGGCTACACTGGAATTTTCTTGATTACAATGCAAAAACTTAAAATTGATAGCTTGTTTTACTAAATACGTAACGATGAAGTTATGATGACAAATATATTAGATTAATACAATACAAACTATGTAAGTTGGTTGGTAAAAAGTAACAGGTAGAAATAACTTCAATTGAAGTAGCAACACATTAAAATGTATTTTTTTTTATGGATCACACTTAATAGCACACTTAAATAGATTTACATAACACAAAAACTAAATTTCATTTATGTTTTCCGGTGTAGCCGAAAGCAGTTCCCACTGTTAATATCTTAAGGAATTCTGCGATGGCGACAACTTTGTGGCAGGATGTTGTCATTGTGTGCTTTCGCGAAAATGCGGTGAAAACAAAATGAGTACAAAACTGCTAAGAACGACTTCCGTCCCACAATTTCCATGCTGAGCGGAAATGGAAAAACACTTGCCAACACACAATCACCGACGCCACCCTGTTTTCATCTCGTCTCCTCATTTTCGCTTTGTGCTGCAATTAAGGAGAACACATGCAGCTTGGCCAGAAGCAGGTCAATACATATCGATATCCCCATCTCCGTTCTTGGCTCCAACCTCATCTCATCGGTATATGTATATTTCATGTAAAGTCAATTTGATGCGAGCAACCACCACCGCTGTGATCCGGGATAAGGGATCCGGGATACGGGATACGGGATCCGGGATCCTGGAAGCTGCGTAATGCTTTAATTTAGTCGCAATATTGTCCTGCCGTTTCTGCCCCTTTTGGTCGCTTGCCACTTAATGGCCAATTAAGGGTAGACGACACAAGAAATAATTAAATAGCTATCGCTGCATGAACCCCAATGAACCGAACGGAGGGAAGGCAGCAGCTTAAAGGGCCACCATGGCGTATGTGCAATGTGGCGATGAGCTTTCAACTTTGCCAGCTCAGCTCAGCCCGAAAGTATGCAACTCTCGGGCGAAAAACCAGCAGCTCCTCGAAGCTATGCAAATTTAATTGGAAAATTTCTTAATGAGATAGACTCTGTTGCTGCTTTTGCTTCTGTTGCTGCTACTGCTACTGCTACTGCCCATCGTTTAATATTTCAAGCGCAATTATGCAGCTGCGCATTAAAAATCAAACACAACACTAAAAGTGACAGCTGCAATCAGAGCGCCTTCGTTTCGGCTCATCGTAAAATTCAATTTGGCGCAAAGTGTTTAATGAAAGCGACCATCCCCACCCCGCTTTTAAGTTTTTGCCACGCAGCGGGTCATCTTGGCCAACAGCCGGGAACAGAACAGCAGCCAACTAAGGTCCCGGAAAGCGCTGAATTGTTTTACATAAAAAAAATAAAAACAAAAACAAGCTCTCGGGCATCAAATTATGCAATCCCATTCTGGGGGCGAGTGCAATGGCCGTAATAAAAATTAACAAGCTACGCAACGTTTGAGTTTTGAATTAATTGACGGCGCGTATGCACACAGGACAACGGACCAAAATAGGGGGCAGCCACGGGTATGGGATTGTCAGAAACAGGAGCCCTACTCTGCCATCAAGATTCTTGTAAAATTATAAATTCGCATCTAAATGAACGCTGCAAAATTAATGAACTGCATGCAGTTTAATTGAAATGAACATCCGCAGGAGGGTACGGAAAGCCAGTCGATGGGGGGTTGCCATGGGGAAAGCATAATTATGGTTTTTTTGCAGGGCGCATCGGGACTGCATAAAACTCGTCACAACTTGCAGGGCATCGCCGAAAGTCAAGAAACAGATTTGATTAAAGAAATTTCAGGAAAAAAGTTTAACAATTTAAGCTTTATACCACCTTTAGCAATTACCAAAGAAGTTTTTCATACTAAATCTATTCACAAAACTCTTAAATAAGGCTTAGTCTATTTTTTTACTGGTATAAAGACATTTATAAAATATTAAAAACACAAGACAGACCAGTTTAGCAAAAGTATTTCGTTTCTAAAATATTGGTTTTACCAATTCGTCTTACCTTTTACGAGTTTGTTAAGTCTAGACTTTCACAATCAGTATATTTTCAACATTTTTTGTGACCTTGAAAATTGATATATCATCTTCTGAACTATTTTTACTTTTTTATAATGATTACTATTTGCAGTGCCCAATCACATTCCCTTTCAAGTCCGGGTTTGATTATAAATAAATATAATAGGCTGACTTACCTCCATGTAAGATCCGTTTTCGACCATTTGGGTCCCTGCAGAACGTAACGCCGCACCCGCACACTGTAGCCGCTGTCGTGATCCAGATTATCTGGTGAGAAACTGTACGCGTTCCTCTTGTCGCCCACGCCGCATCGAGGTTGCTGTATTAGCCGGGCCGTTGCCGAGTCGATTTGGCCCGTAACTGGAATGTTGCCAAAAGACTGCAGACGGTAATGTTAGTTGTGAAATTGTGCATAATAGATGCGGGGGTTTTGTGGCTGGGATGGCATGGTGTGGCATGGCATGGCATTGCAAGGCTTGTAGGGAATGGAATGGAGAATGGAGAATGAGAATGGCTCTTACCTGGAGACTCCGGATTGCATCTATCAGGTACTGCTCGGAGCGCAGGGCGCCCGTTTCCAGGTCCGACTTGGGCAGATAATCAAACTGCATGAGGTAATTGTACTGCAAGGAGAGATGGATAGATACATTAGGGAAGTGTGCCAAAGGAACGGGTATCTCAACAATGGCCCTGTCTGCCATATGGCCAGTTCGGTGAGCCAAACTATTTGTCGTTTTGCAAATGATGCGATGCTGCCTGCTGCCAGCATCAACAAAAAACCATCTCAGAAAAAAAAAGAGGTCCAGGACCAAAACTTTTTGCATAAAGTTAATGATAAAAGCAACGCCAGATAGGACGGCGGCTGGCAACAACAACCAAACATAAACAGCAACAGCAACAAAAACTTTAACATTAATAACCCAAAAAGTATGCCACAGCAAAAAAGTGCAAGGAAACGTTGATGGAGAAGTGCTCGAAGGAAGAAAGCTTGGCTGGAATGTAAGCCATTTCCATATCTCCTGGCCGAAATCATAAAGCTGCCTTCTAGGGCTATTTTGAATTTAAAGGTACTGCATAAATTTAGGTATATTTAAGATTAACTTTTAAGTAATCTGCTGCTGCAAAATATTTCAGCAGCCATTAAACAGGAGCCCAATAGCTGGGTTCTATAATACATATATAAGTAAATTCATTTCCAATAAAAAGGTTCTAATGTAAATAAAAAGGTTGCCAATTTTAAATAGGTTTTAATGTATAAAATTTATTTCTAATGAAATATATTCTTACAAGCTGTGGTTTAGGCATCGTTAAAAGTTTGTTTGTATCCTATTCAAATATATCTTTGTAATATCATTATTTCGACCTAATTCACCTAGGGAATTAAGTACCGAACCCCAGTATGTATGTATACTAGGTTATAACTGTAAAGTGCGAAAACAGAACGCAAATAGAACCCAACTCGAATATCGACTCGATTCGGTGCCATATGTGCTTTGCCTCTGGATTTACATATTTTTACATCGCGTGCGCGCATATTTATTAACTAACGCACACAGTGGCACGCAGAGCAAACTTGACACATACACCAGCAAATTACGTGACCTGCAAATTTAATTTTCTCTTTCATTTTCCCACATATGAGAAAATTGTCACACTCGCACCACGTTTTTCCTCCGCCTTCCGCCTCGCTCGAAACTTTTCGATTTTCGCCTTACTTGTTATTGTCAGTCGCTTAAAAAATTGTGCACCAAAAGAGTGGAATACAAACTTTTGAATGGCCAAACGATTTGCAAATTTCATGAAAAGAATCGTTAGCCAAAAGTTGTGATAGTGGTATTGGTATTCTTATAGAGGCAACGTGATGTGTGGCGATTAGTTGGGATTTATTTCGAATGACAAATGGCCCATCTACATTGTGTTTAGGTGCTGAAAAGTAGCTATGTGCGATGCATATAAATGCACAAATCAGATTTGACTTCTAAAAATTGCTGGGCTTTAAATTATATTGAGCGAACTTATGGTGAAGAAAAGTTGTTTGTTTGCGAGTTTTAACAATTTCCAATGGTGCTTAGATTCTGTAGATTGGTACTAACAATAAAAATCCTATCAGTCTTTAATTGTTTCCTCTCAGGGGGGAATAAAAGCAAACTGAGGTTGATTGGTGAGTGAATCTGCCGATTTGATTCCACTTTTGTGACTTTCCCTCGAATGAGTCACAAAAGTAGCACTAAAGCAACCATATGTTGTTACTTTTAAACTGAAGGAAACTTTCTTGGCCGGAATAATAGCATAATAGCCGAGGGCAGCATTTTGTATGCTTCTGCCATTTTATTTTTTTATTTTTTTACGCAACTCCAGCAGCGTTGGTTGCAAGTCCATCAGGTTCGCAATAAAGAACGAACATTGGATCCCGGTACAGGTGCAGCACAAGTCCAGCTCCTGACCCCAGGTTAGCACAGATTCCAGCGAAATGTGCGTCACAAAAAAGTTGGCTTAGACCCTCGTCCCTTCACGGACTTGTCACGTTGCTCGGAACGCGTCAGCCGCACAGCACCGGCCATACGTAACGGCAAGTAACGTAAGAAAGCCCACACTAGCAAATTGAAATTCACATAACGATCCCCCACAGCTATGTGAGCACTCTGTCTCCGCCTCTGTCTTTGTCGCCGACCCCCTCTTTTTGTCGACTACACGAAAACAATATCAATTAATATATGTATGTTTAAATGCAAAGACGAAATCGAAATACAGTTGAAATTCTTTAAGACGAAAATAATCTTTAATTGGTTGTCTTCTTGTTGGTAAACTAATAGAATTAAGTTATATTTGGTTTTTTAATTTGCCTGATTTTTTGGAACAAAATTTAGGACCAATGCAGTAGTAATTTATAAATAATTGAACAATTAGTATTATTAAATAAAATAATGAATGTTGGTTTGCTCAGAAGAGCGTTCACAAATTTTGTAAAAATACCAAAGCTTTAAAAATAATTTTATTTAAAATAAAACAATGAAAAAATGTTTATAAGCTGTTGGAAATATAACAGAGTAGAATAAATATTAAATATTATTTCACCACAAACCAAGTCCTCTGTAGGCATGTTGGCCTGTACACTCTGTGGGTAGGGACAAGAATAATGTGGCACACAGCGGAAGCCGAATGTCTGGCCAGCGGAGACAACAGCGGACGCCTCAAGTTTCTTAATGAATGGAAGACTTGTCCATCGAGGAGCTGGATAATGGGGGAAATTGGTTGAGCCCGAGTTCCTTTTAGTCGAACGCAACTAGTCAATTTGGCTAATCGAAGGCTTTGCGGACTGTAAACAGTACTTACGAAAGGTGTGCCAAATGGCAGAGAGCCGAGCATTTTACGACGACAATAAACTATAATTCGTAGTTATGAATGGGTGGATGGGTATGTGAATGAATTGCTCAAGTCTTTGAGCGACGGAAGTGCTCACATTTGACCCCCCACCAGTGCTTTTAAACAACGTTCTCCCACCACTTTCGGTATCAATCATTTATGCATTGGCCTTTTGCGTTTTTAATGGGAAATTTGTGGCCCAGGCTACGTGTTTGAAAATCGGGGGAAAAGTGGGGGAGTATGGAAGTGGCGGCGGGGCTTACGTACGTGGCCAAGCCATGATTCTGACTAATAGAAAAGCGCCAGTGGAGTGGAAAAAGTCGGGGAAAAGAGGTGAGCATCGTATCAGAAACAATAACAGTAAAACATTGCTACGTGAGTATTTGTCGTGTAAACAAAATCATGTTATCAAAATATAATAACGAAAAGCAATAACGAAAAACAATTGAGAAAAGTGCGAATGGGGGGAGGGCTAGAGGCGAATGTATATGGCCTTTCCCCACTGCCATCCAATAATTGTGGGGCTTAATTTAGTTAAGTTGTCGTGTCACAAGGAAAACTTCTCGCCACCGCATGCTGGTGAAAGTGTGAAAGTAAATTGAACGATGGACGAGGCGATATGTTTATTATTTTATTGGATTATAATTATACGAGAGCGGATCACACAGAAATAAAAATAAAGGGCTTATCGGGGGCGCCTAATTCAATTAACTTCAAGGCGAGAGTGTGCTTTATTAATGGTAAGGGGTTTTAATTAATGAATGAATATAGAGTAAAAGCAAAAACTACTTGTAAAACTGAAATTGCAAAACTAAGCAATAACATATACAAATAACATTTAGTGTGATTTAAAAATCCGTTCCATTTGAAAACCGCAAAAACAAATAATAATGGTTCATATGCTGGTCATAACTCTCTGCTCCACATGCGACACTGGCTTATAAAAACCACCTACAAATGTCGCCGGATCGGCAGGCAAACAAACCTATAAAAATGACAGGCAACTGCAATAAACGAGCGTATTCATCTGAGCCCTTCCTACTCCCCCCAAAAACATATGCATTCTGGCACCTACCATGCGCCTTCTGCCAAGAAGGACATAGCCTCAGATCCTGCCACAAATTCTGTGAAATGCGCAAAGAGCAAAAAAAAAAAACAGAAGGAGCAGAAAGCTGGAGACGCAGAGACCACAAAGAGCATGAAATCGAGGCCAAATTGCCAGGATATGGACCTAAATGTGTCAGCAGAACAACAGGTCCTGGCCACAAACAAATTTACTGCAAGTGAGTGTGTGAAATTGATGCTAAATCAAACATATTAATGGCTTTATTGAGTTTGTATTGGAAATGGAACTTAAGCAGGTATAAAATCTAGTGCTCTTAAAAAAGTGTTGTGTGTTAAACTTTTCAAGAACATTACTTTTCAGATTAAACGACAATGTTTTTATATTATAATAGTATTAGATAATTAGTCTCGTAAGATATAATTTGCAATAGAAGTGATTTTTAGGGCAGTTTTATTTAAACATCTTTTTTTATTTTTGGCATTCTTTAAACTTCCACATTCTTCGGTTGACCTGCTCCATTTAAAGAAACACACGTTCCCACTTTGGGCCCAGCCCCGACCATTTCCATGCATTTCCTGTTGCTGTCTCATAAAAGTCTTGGATACACACACGTCTTTTGAAACATGTGCGCGAGTCATACCCCATTTCCTCATCCACAACCAATCCCACGCCCGTCCGTCCCACTGCAGCTCCTTTTCAATTTATAGACTGCGAATTTTAATAAAAAGGATGTGCCAACTAGCGGCTCGAGTGATGGCCACGCCCACCATTGCAAACATTTAATAAAAAAAAACACACACCCACTCGCACACTCCTTCAAAAGGCTGGACAAAGTGAAGAGATGGTTAAATTAATTGAAATCAACATTGATTAATGTGGGATAAGAAAAGCAACGAAGCCAAGGGAAAGAGCAGAGAGATAGGGTTGGATACTATATTATTGAAAATTGCTTTGTTGGCTCCATCGTCACCAATACACGGTGCGAAAAGGGTGGATCTAAAGTTAATTACAATACCCATATAATGGCACCCACTTGATTATTGTATATATGAATAAACAAAATTCCACACAGAGTTATTGAATTAAATTTGCTTCATGTTATTAAAATAACTTTAATAAAATGGAATAAAAACATTAGATTTAAATTAAACGACAAATAGGCAGAGCCACAAATCTTCTACAGTTTTCACACAT